AGTAGTAGCACTAGCAGTAGCAGTAGGAGCAGTAGTAGTAGCAGCAGCAGCAGCAGTAGCACTGGCAATAGCAATCGTAACAAACAGCAGGGGGAGGACGAGGAGCAGCAGCAGAAGGAGTAGTAGTAGTAGTAGTAGTAGTAGTAATAGTAGTAGTAGTAGCAGAGCAGTAGTACTAGCAGAAGTGGTATTTGTGGTAGGACCGTTCCACCCTGTCCTTCGCAGACGGGTTGAACGAAAACTTGGAGTTCCCCTTTCCGCCCTTTTGCCTCAGCATGCCGAGCAGTTGGGGCAGAGCTTCTGGAGCCCGACGAGGCTGGGAACGCAAAGCCTGCCCTGGGCTCCACACTCTTCTTGCGCCTGTGTGGGAACAGTAGAAATGTCAGCCCTGCCTGACCCATGATCACGGAACTTGTCGCTATTCCTTGCCTGCTCAGGCTCATGTGCCGCAGCCTCAAGGCAAAGCCCAATCTCGAGCTTGCGATCATGAGTGCATGCTCCGGTTCTCATGAGATCCTGGGCACCGCACAGAAGCATCCATCTGAAATCCTGATGATGCACCGCAGCACTCACGAAGCTGGTCTCAGCGGGATTCCTGTATCCACATGCCGAATCGTCGCCCATGTCACTGGAATCACTATTATTGATAGGACACACGAACGGCACACCCTCCTAAACAGAGGCCAGAGGATTGCAACTTGATAAATCCGAGCTTTCCTGACGCTTAAACAAAAACGCCGCAATCCCGATAATGCACGGAAACCCCATGATGGCGTCCTCTTGCTTCGGCATGTCCGGAGCCGCTGGCACCTGTCCAAGTATGGCAGTGTTTAATAACCATGATGACAGCTCCTCATGCTGAAGATTATGATACTGATGTTGATGGCGATTATACCCATATTGACAACGATGATGGTGATGATGATGATGATGAAAATGATGATGATGACGACGATGATGATGGTGCCGGTGCCGGTGCCAGTGCCGGTGCCGGTGCCGCTGGCATGGCGGTGGCAGAGGTTTTGGTGGTGGTACGTGGTGGGGTGGTGGTGGTGGTGGTGGTACGTGGTGGTAGCGACGGCGCCGGTGGTGGTGGTGGCGACGGTGGTGGTAAGAAGCTGCTACCACCACCACGACCACCACCACGACAACAGCAGCCAGGACCAGCAAGTGGTCATGCTTGGCATCGGAAGTCGGACTCACGTGGCATTGCAGGAAAACGATCATGCTGAAGAGCTGATTTACTGGTGCACAAGTGAGATGGATCAAACGTGTCGGCTGAAGTTTCACTGCGGGCTTGGCCTGGTGTGGCAGCGGACCTCAGGTGGATCTCAATCGGCCGACGGCGAACAGGTGGAGCTCGGTGGGGCCTCCCCGAGGTCGTGCCTTGGGCTCCGGCTTCTGGGTGGCCTCCTTTTGCTGGATGGCCTCGGAAGGCGAACTCTGCACACACTGGGACCTGATGGCTTCTGACCTCAAGAGTCACTGACCTGCAACGACTGCTGAAGCTCATCCTTGATTCCAGCAGGTGGCTGCCCCTCGCAGATGAACGGAGGCTGCGATTTGCGAACGCATGAAGCCTAATTATCTCACCTGTCGCGTTCGCGACTGTGACTGCTTGAAATTGATCCAATCCGATCGGGTCTTGTCATCGAACTTGGGCAACGCAGGCCTTGTTCCCGGCTGCGCGCATTGAATATCTGTGGACTGTGCATGGCTCACGAAGGGGCTGAGGCCACAGCTCTAGATTTAAGGCATTGATGCTTTTCATCTCGGAGAGCTGCGGGGCACGCCTCAGTGAATCCGACTCGGCATGGACTCCACACGAGTCCCGTCGGAGCTCCAGTTCACGCTCAAAACCGCCAAGTGCCCTGCGAGTGCGCTGTGATCATGTAGCGCTTGGCCCTGTGCTCTCGGGCGAAACCCTGAGGATGTCAGGCTGTCGGTTCTCATGCCTGCAACATCCCCAGTCCATTAAAATGAGACAGGCAGCATCAGCAGCATGAAGTTCAGCTGCAGATGCAGCATCATGCTGCGACACATTCTCCTGCACCCACAATCTTAAAGGGCGCCGTCCGAAGCCGAGTTCTCACGCAAAGGAATCAGACTGACGACAAGAAGCACTAGTGAATACGGCAGCTAACCCTATCTGGCAACCCCGTCCACAGTCAGTGGAGCGTGCACTGGCTCCTCAGCTCAACAACAAGGTCTGTTAATCAGAGTGCTTCATCGCTTTGCAGTCGCGTTGAGCAGAATCCCAGAATGCGCATCTCCGCATTGGAAAACCAATTGCAGCGGGCCGCCCGAGCTTGCGAAGAGCCGACAGCGCTAAATTGCGCTTCCTCGTCGACGTCCTGATTTGTTCTCAGAGACTTCGGAGAATCTCTACGTTGCATCACGAGACACTGCAGCACGGAGCACGGGCAGACCGAGGTCCACGCGTCATTGACGCCTTCTTCTATCCTGCCGTAGCTCCTCGGTTCTTCTGCTACCACTATCGCGTTGGACCTGGTTGTGCCATGCTGGGGATTGTTCATAGAGAGAGAGAGAGAGAGACAGAGAGACAGAGAGAGAGACTCATATATATATATATATATACATATATACATATACATATATGTATATGTAGCTAGGGGGGAGAAGAGAGAGAACATGGTCAAGCACTGCTCCCACTCCCAGGCAGCAAGATCGATTCGGCCCAGCATCTGCCCGCTTTCAATTTCGCGGGCGATGCGTTCGGCCTGGAGCCCAGCTTCTCTTTACGGGTCTAGGGCCTAGGGTGCAAAAAAATTAAGGTTTAGGTCTTTGGGTGTAAGATTTGTAGGACTTAGTTAGATCTCGTGAGGCTGCGCAAAATTCAGATACCAACAGCGCCTGGAATTGCCTGTGGTGCAGAATATCCCTGGTAAACGTCCAGAAGTGGTGTGAGGCCCAGACATCTTTTCGCTTCTGCTCTGGGATTTTGCTGGGATCCAGCTTCGTCGTGTATAGGTCCTGCGCCGCAAATCTTGAATATTCACCATCACGGGAGCCCCAAGATGTGTGCTGGCGCAGGTCCTCAGAGTAGGTGCTAGTGATACCAAACTGCTTCTCGTTATACTCGAACTGGTTCCAGGTCTGGCGCATAAGAAGGCTGATCTTCGGGTTCGGCACAACCCCACGGTGCACTTCCGGGGACGAGAATGCTCACACCGTCTGCCATCAATCGACGCTTACAAGGCTTCAACAACCCTTGCTTCTACTGAGTGCCCTGCGCCGATTTGCCGACCGCCGGATTCCAAGTTGAGGGAAACACCGGCAGGGGCACTCGCCTTGCAGGAGCTTCATGAACCTAAGAGATTGAAAAATCAGGGTACCTTATTTGGGGGGTCCTTATAATAAGGGTCCTACTATTTGGGGTACTTTTTTTCGGGTCCCCTATTTTCAAGAAGGTTTACGGTGCAACGCAAGCCGACATTCCCGACACATGCCCTGCCTCACCGCCGCTTTTCCAGGCAACCAGTTCCCGGTTGTGATCTTTGCCCCAGCCTTCAGCCTGAGCGGCAGATGACAGCACCTACTTGACACCTCCAGCAAAATCCCCCAAGAGCGCTGCTATTTCACCGTCAGTCTTGAAGGCGCTGTGCTGCCTTGTCGGATCAACTTCTGCAGCCGTTGGCACTGGAAGATGACGAGGCTGCGGCTTTGGCTCCGGGGGCACGTTGACCGCGGACACCTTAAGTAGAGCAGGAAGAGAGAGGAGACTACCCGTTCATCCGACCTTGAGCAAGCCTGCAGGAACTCCTTTCCTGCAACAACCAGCTCATCCTTCACCTGCAAAGTAAACTCGTTTCTGAAAGCCCTGTTCTGAAGCATAGGATCCTGCCTCGCCGCTTTTCCCATTTCCAGTGGGAACTTTTCGGGCTGATTTCAAAGTGATCGATAGATCACCTGGGCACACTTGACATGTCAGTGGCTTCAGGGCAGCACAAATCCAAACCCAGCTCAGCAGCCTTCTGTGGAGCAGCTGTGGAAGACTCCCTCGTAAATCGTCCTGACCCAGAGGCGTGCCAAGGTTTAGCAGTCAGACACTTTGGGACAGCTCTGCACTTTGAAACTACACCAGCTACCAGCCGCCGAGCCGCTGGTTCTTCAGCTTAACGGTGACCGTCTGCCCGACCAAACCTCTGCACGCGAACATGTCTCAGAGCGTGTCGGGTCCGAACCTAAGGCTGCCTGACAAGCGCAGCTTGATCCCCTAAATGCCCTAAAGCTGAAGTCGCGGCAGGCGAGGAAGTACAGCATTCCTTAACCAGAGAGGCTCTGGCCCGGCTAAAGCAGCCGATAAAGTCACGGAAAACGTTATGGAAAAAAAGTGACGTCAAGGCTCTCTCTTTGTTAGCATCAGGCTGAGCGCGAGCACCTGCCTGGCGTTCAAAAAAACCGCATATCAGCTCCAGCTTGAGAACTGCTTAATGCTATACTATACTATACTATACTATACTATACTAGACTAGACTATACTATACTATAGTATACTATACTATACTATACTATATTATATTATACTATATTATATCATCTTATACTATTTTTGCGCTCACCGCGTGCCTTGGGGCCTCGGCCCTTCTTCCCGCCCTGACCAAAGCCGAGCACTTCATAGCTCAAAAGAGCGAGGAAGCATGGTGAAGCCTGCTGCATCCTGCGTCACGTCGCAGGCGACCAGAGACCTGAAGTCAGCGGTAGGGCCACAATCATGGTACCTGTTATATTCCGTTGTATTCTGCTGTCCGTCGGCTGGCTCAGGCTGCGGCGGAGGAGCAATGTCGATTGAATTAGGGTTCGCGTGCTTTCACAAGTCAAAGGAAGCCAAGACTGATTTTGGTGAGTTGAAGGTTCTTCCTTGATCTACCTTGGAGCTGGGTACGGTCTGGAGTGTGTGTGGCAGCTTGACTTGGGATATCTTCACTTACCATGGCCGTCTCTCCAACCTCCCCGCGGCAGGAGATTGTTCAAGAGACCATGCATTACTAACGCATATGAACCATGTTCGAGTTATTGAAGCACTGTTGGCTGAAGTTGCACCGATACTGAGTGTCGCTGCGAGCCGATCATGGCAACAAGCACTCCAACATCTGGAACCCGGAGTCACAGTTTGGAGTTGCCAAGAGTGTTGCGCTGCAAAATCCCAGAGGCCTGCCAAGCGCCCCATCGTCAGCCCGGGTCCTGCTGTGGTCACTGCTGAAATTGCACGGGAACACAGCTGACCTTCCCGTACTAGATTAGATCATATTAGATCCAATAAGACGGGCAAGTATATCACCACGGGCTCGCAGTCAAGCTTGCTTCTTGAAAGACCAGACTAGTGGGCATCCTTAGGCCGTTTCGGCGACCACAGACAGTGTCGATCAGGGTTTCGGTTTGATGAGGTCTGTGGCCTGAAACCATTTCTGGTGTGACCTTTAGCTCGGAGCTCTTCAACCCGCCACACCCTGCGCCTATTTCCGTACAACATGCCCGGCTTCTGCGCACGAAGCGACTTAATGCCCCTGCAGACAGGACGTGTCAGCTGCTATGTGGCCACATGAGCCTTCGTGCACAAACGCCCAAGAAACATAGCCGGAGCATGCTAAGCAGCCGGCACATCAGGACAGCAAAGATCACACTGATCAACCAAAGGCGTGCACCTGCTAGCTGGGCAAAGTAGAGTCATAACGTTACACCAAGTCGTTCTTGCGCCTCTTGCATTCTGAGAGGAGGTTTCCCATGGCGAAGAGCCAACACGCCCTGCTCTGAAAGGCCTGTGTTTGTGTGGCTTGGCGCTTGCTCTGACAGCCTGAATCAATGTGAGCTAACTCCCTTGTTGTCTCATCGTCTTGTATAGGCTGAAGGTCCCTGCAGTACAGTCAGGTTAGAGTCATGTCTACATGGTCTACATTACCACACATGAGCTAGCTGCCACATGGGAACACTGAGACCGTCAACCAAGCATCGCAGAATTCTCGACCACTGTTCTGCACTCTAGACTCTAGGCAGGGAACCTAATGTTAACACCGTGCGCCTGCGCACCGCTAGACCTGCCTCAACATGCCAGTTGGTCAACCCACTGCCCCAACTCTCCTCTATCATTTTGGAGGATGCCAAACCCTTTTGTGATTCCTTCCCTTCCTGCAGTGCCCCTCAGTATTTCCGCACGTATATCGGACATCGGCGCGAGCGAGCAGAGGTTGCCGCTCCTGACCTCTGACTACGGTGACTCGAGGTCGCTGCATGCCCACGAAGCTCGGAAGTGAGGAGGTGTAGGACGTTGATGGCAATCACTGTGAAGTCTGCGTGCTTAGTAGCCCTTTGTCTTGTCGACGACGTTCTGGAAACCGGAAAAGCCCTCGGAAGTGAATTCATCCAATCGGTGCCGGAACAGGTTCCAGGTCAGCTCCATGTACCTCGAGACCATAACATACGAAGGCAATCACGGCTACCTAAACCTAAACCTACTTCCACCCGGAACGACAGTCTCCGTGTGCGCGTGCAAGTCTTGCTGCCGCGATGCTGACTCGTAAGGTCGGCATTGTGCGGGCTCAACAACCTGAGCATGATACATACACAATGCGTATAGACGTTGCTTACACACCTTTTATGATATAGTACTAATGACAAGTTCGTCTAGTATATATATATATATAGCATGTTTGTATGTGTATGTACATATAATGTATATAGATGTATGTCATGTAAGTGCACACCGAAAAACAAAGGAGTCTGTGTATGTGTCTGTCTGTGTGTCTGTCTGTCTGTCTGTCTGTCTGTCTGTCTGTCTGTCTGTCTGTCTGTCTGTCTGCCTGCCCCCTGCCTGCCTGCCTGGCTGCCTGCCTGCCTGCCTGTCTGTCTGTCTCTGTTGGTGTGTGGGTACATGTCTGCATGTCCGCATGTATGTACTTATGTACATCTGCATGCGCACATGTTAATGATCCAGCTGTGCGAACTGTGAATGCTCACGCGTTGCCTATATGCGGAGATAATTGGCAAGAATCTTTGTGCGGCTGCGATTGCATCACGAAGTCGCTTATTCAGGTCTTTGCATTTCGTGGAACCAACGTGGGCTGCAGCTGGGCAGCAAGTTTTCACAGTTCCAAACCGGAGACTCCTCAGGCAGCGGCTCCTGGCATGAACGGTGCGTTCGGCTTGAACGCAACACAGTTGCAGCCTGTCCTTCTCGAACACGTCAAGAGCCGCTCCTGCAATCTGGCCGCTTGTCAACCTGAGCATCCAACTGAAACGGCGCCCGCTGGCCAAAGCTGGGGCATATCGTTTCGCTGCTAGCCCTGCTAGTCTCGCCGTAGTAGTTTGCTGAATGTCAAACCCAAAAATGGGCCGGATGGCAAGTGAAGTGCTGAAGCCACGGATCTCCCGACCCATTCGTTCAGTTCCGAATCCATCCCGTGGCAAAGGCATCCCCAGATACGACGATGCACTGAGTCGGTTCCTACAAAGGGGACGCCGCTAGCCCGAAAACACCAAAACAGCGCCCGGGTACGCGCGGTCCTCTGCTGAGGCGTGGACGCTGGAACCAGGGCGCTTTCGTCTACACATGAGCCTGCATGGTCACGCGCATCTTACGAGGCAGAGTTGACTGCACACGTTGCCTCGACCCATGGAGATGAAGACAGAGGTGGGCTTCATGGCCTTCGCTCTGTCTCATTCAGGGCTTCTCGCGTGTGGCTTGCGGTGCACTTCTCTCATCTTGTGGTACGTAACTGCGCAAGAGCTGCAACCCTCTTTGGCTTGTTTTTGTCTTTAGCAACCCTTACCGGCTCTTCTGACTCGTTCAAGAAACCTTGCCTGGAACTCATCCGCCTTAGCATGGAGGCTGCTGCAAGCTTTTCGGGATTTCTAGAAACACTCTGCGACTAAAATACCGACCACAGCATACAGTCCCCTGCCATACAGAACCAAGGTTCCCCGCAGCAGTGGTAAGTTGCAGCACCACCGGGCAGTGAGCAAATCACGTAGTCAGACTGCTTGAAGACTTCCTGCAACATCTCACTAGCCGACTGTATTCCTGCCAGCGGAAAATTGAAACCTTTCATATGGCATCAAGTAACGACATGATCAACCACTGTAATCGGTCCCACCGTCCCACCTGTTTCGCGCCAACTCCGTCGCTGGCATAGAAGACTTCGTCGGCCAACTCCTCACCCGAGGCTCCCCGGGTATTTCGCCACGCAAGGATCCGCATGCCAAAGGCCTTGCAGAGGCGCGCTGTGCACTGTGCGATATCGCCGAAACCAATGAATCCGACGGTTTGTCCGTGGAGTTCGTTCATGATGAATTTGTCCCAAGTCTTTGTCGTACGATTTTTCTGTAATCTCGGGATCTGCTTGTTGAAGTGCAGCATCGCTGCAAGAGAGTATTCCGCTAGGGATCTCGAGAAAGCTCCCTTGGCATTGGTCAATGGGATTTCCGAACCCCCTGGCAGGGAGTTGAGCACCGGCACCAGCGTGTCTACTCCCGCGGCCAGGCTGTGGATCCACTTCAAGCGGGTCAGATGAGGCCACAAATCAGCAATGACTGCAGGATTTCCTGGCACAGTTCGGGCGTTCATACTTGTGGTCAGTAGTACTCGTGGTCTTTTGGAATGCTGGGGGTCTGTGTGAGATGTATGGGTCTTTGGATGGCTGGGCTAAAGAATGGTTCAGGGTCCTGCCGCAAACACCGCCACCAAAACAACGTCGACATCTGGCAGATTTTTCAGGTCTTTGAAGTCGGAGAGGGAGTTGCCAACGAGGCAAGTGGACGTCCTTGGCTAGCAGCCAGGGGCTCATCCCGGATGCGGCTAGCACAAACATCCACATGCAACAATTCACAGCCTGTCAGGCCCTACCGAAAGCAAAATTGTAGTTCTGGGGTCGTCTCCGCTAACTTCGGGACCCATACAGTCTGAGGTACTCGGAGATCTGTGGGAGCAGTTCCAGGAGTGCTTTGCCGTTAGCTGAAGAAGCATCAGCCAACAAAGCGATGACCGGCATCGAGCCTAAACTCGATAAGCCTCTGCCGGATACTGGTAGCTTGAGCCTCTTGCAAAGCACAAGATTTGAACCACGACCTTCAATGGTATGAAGGGCACGGACTACGGCTCGACTTAGAGTACGAAGCTTCGCTGCCATTGCTCGGGATCCCGATACAGCTGGGAACCACTATGGCTCTACAGTCATTCTCCACCGCCGGCATCCCAGCCCATGCAGGGCACCTGCTCTACATGACTGCTCTCTGCCAGGTGCAGAATTTACTGCAAACCGTAACAACTATCCCTGCACAGAAGCCGAACAGCATGAAGCCTTAATATCCTTAATGGAATTATCCTTGGGTTCAGACTCAAAGCACGTACTAGACCAAACAAAGGGGACCCCTTTTCGAGTAATCGTAGCTGCTGCAGCTGCTGTTCCTGTCTACTTTGTGACAATGCACGCTCTGTCCTATGCAGTACATGTAATCTTGACTACTGAGTTTGAGTCCCTCCTATGCTTCCAAACCCCTGCTTTCCAGGTTTTCCCCAAAGGCAAGATCTGTCCCCTGGCAGAATGTTCGTTGCTGGGTGTGAAGGGTCAGGTTGGAGTGCTTGAAAGGCGATTCGAAGGCAGGAACTCGAAAAGGAGCCCCGATAACCAACAAGGCTGTCGCTGTCGACAGTCACCCCTTGTCTTCTACAGCATACGAAGATGCAAACCCTGTGCCGTGTGGCGGGCAAGACAAAGAATAAGACTAAGATTAAGAACGACAGGATTGGCAGGCTGGCAGCAAGCCATGGTGAAAAAGGACTGAAGTCTCAATCATCTCTGCTGCATGCCCACCCTGCTGGATTCCGAAGTGTTCTCATCTCGGCATAATCCTCACCTTGCGTATCTGACAGACGGCAATCAGAGATCTTGCTTGGCAAAAGATGCGACTGATGGCCATCAAAGCAGATATCTTGCTTGGCAAGCGACCGAATGGCGCTTAAACCAAAAATCAAGGTGGTTGATGACTGCATCACCGAAAATAACGACCTACAGTGATATTTTCACAAGTAGTAAGAAACGACATCAGGCTTGTCCGCATCATGCGGTTCCTTCATGTGAGGAGGCATGCCAGCAGAAGGCGATTGTTGCCTGGAAGTTCCCAAGCCGGAAGATGTCATCGCTATAGTCCAACAGCTGCATCAAGCTGCAAGAGCAGTTCTGGCGCAGAAGACGATCATCGTCCGCGCCCAAAATCGCGCTCAGAACACCCGAGCAAACAACCACCTCCAGGCAATCAGCCCTCGGGGCGCCACAAACTCTGGGCCGTTGGTGTCGCACTGCGCGAAGAAGGTCCTAAACATGAACTCATCGGCCAAGCCATAGAAGGTCAAGGAGCCGTCAATGAGCCGCACGATGGAAAGCTGACCAGTTTCAGCAAAATATGCCCGGCAGCACAGGGTCTCTTGAATCCACCAGGCCACTTCCTTGGGCTCGGGATGGTTCACAAAGTAGTTGTAGGCCCCCAACTCTTGGTCTTCGCGCTGGTCCAGGTAGTCGTCCAGCACATGCAGCGCGGCTGCGAGTCGCACATGCAAATTCCAATCACGCCGGAAGGCTCGGGGCGAGACACCCCAGTACTGGCACGCCAGGCAGCCTCCCCAGTGTGCCAGGTCCAGCTCCGAGATTCTCCGCTTCTCCTCCACACCGCAGTGCTCCAGAGCGCGCACGCGAGCGTGCTCCTTGAAGAGTTCCTTGAGCGCAGGGTCGTGTGTGAGCTCGCCCAGCAAGCGCCCCAAAGTCTGGTCGGATACGCCGCTCTTGTTCAGAAGGTACCAGGGCAGAACGTATCTCCAATAAGTGCATTGCTGTGCAGACGTGCCGGTGCAGAGTTGCGCAGCCACTGCCGTGACGAAGAACGCCCTCAGTGTGGAGTAGAGGGTCCACCCCAGTGCCCGGAGGCTGCCAGCAAGACCCGGGCCGCAGGTCACCAGACTGTGCGCAAAGGAAGCCCGAACAGCTTCTCCCACTGAGTGAGCAAAGACACCTTGCTCCAGGCTTGCCCCAGGGTCCTTTTTTGTCAAAAGCAGCAAAAGCAGAAACCTGACCTCTTATACAAGCCCTGAGTTTGCGATAGGCTGCGTAGATGTATCAGCCACTGTAACACACGCACACACACACACGCACACCAATCGGCCAGTCCTGTGTGCCAAGTTGTGTTGCTAGTACGAGACTCGCGCAGCTGCGGACACCACCGCCAGCACAGAATTGCCGACGAGCCTGAACAAGACAGCTGTAAACAAGACGCAATGCATGACCCTGGCAACGTTTGGACAGTTTACTTGCAGCTTTCTGATTGAGAGTCTGCCCACAAAATGCGGGATCATGGTATCATCTGTCGTTCAGAAGAAACGCAGGTCTGCTCGCCTGCTCCCTCTTCTTGCTGGCCTTGGCTCATTGCAGTAGTCCTATGCCTCGCAGAAATCTACGCCAACATACTGAGCACCAAGCCCGTCTTGCAGTGACCTCGCGGGAACGGCGGAACAGGCACTGATGGGGAACTGCAGCGAGGTCAAAAGAGGATCTTTACTGAGACTACGTTGGAGCACGTTGAGCTCAACACCAGAATGGCTGTGGAAGCAGATCCCAAGACAGTGGCAGCAAACTCCTTCAGTCCAGTCGCTGATTCGGCTTTGCACCGTTCTTTCCTGTTTCTACCTATAGCCTACGGCCATCATCTTTGGGAAAAATTAAAGGCCGAGTCCGTAGTTAGTGGGTTCTGTGTCAGGTGTTCATGGGCCTACCAACACCTTGAACTCTTGAATCTTCGCTGGCTTTCCCCAACTTTCTGCACCAGCTTTGTGCGAAACTTGAGATTCCGGCATTTTTGCATGTCATGGGAAAGTAATTCTCACGGAATCCTCCTCCCATTGCGTCCACGCGCTCAGCTACAATTCTTGCTTCTTAGGAAGGGGCTAACCACAGAGCTCCATGAGCAGAAGGCAACCCTGCATGGACAAATCTCATGCCCTTGGGCCCTTGGGGGCTTCGGGATCGCTGGGCCGTGGATGAAGCAGACACGTCTGGTCTATCCCGTTTTGGGGAAACTTGTTCATCAATAATCCAGTAGGACCTCCGCACCTGCCGCATTTATGCATTCACTCGTTCACTCATTCATTCAGTCAGTCAGTCTGCCTGTCTGTCCGTCGGTCAGGCTGCAGTGCACACGGGTAAGGGCTCCTGGTCCTTGTTGGGAACTGCCCGCTTGCTTCGCCGGGGCCTCGCTCAGTAGTCACAGAGGAGGACATCTTGCAGCAACAACAAGACAACAAGAAGAACAACAAGAGCCACCGCAGGTGCAATAAGTCAAGAGATTCAGGACTAGCACAAGGCCTACTGCCATGAGATGAAGTGGAGACTACCCTCATAGCCAAAAAGGAACTTTGGCATTGTGAGTCTATGTGAGGGAAACGCTTGCTGATAGCGGTGATGAGTAGTTGTCATATGTTGTCATGGGGGTAGGAGTCTTCATTGGCTGGAAGAGCTTGTCACGAATCTGACTACGTTCATGAGGCTGTTGCCGAGCCTGACCTGACATCTGGAATTACTGGAAGTACGAGGCTCCCGCAGCGGGTGCTCTGAAGCTGGCAGCGCTCGGCTCGGATGCATGAGAAAGCTTTTTGCCTTGGCCCAGCTCCAGAAAGCCAGAATCTTCAGCTGTAGTTTTCTGTAAAGCGCGTGCTGAACGACTTCACGGATGACACACGCGCCACACCGGCAAGTCTGCGTTCAAAATCTTGAGGACACAGCAACGCGTGTTCCAGGAACAGACGGACCTAGCAGCTGAGGGTGAAGGCAGTTTCTTGTAATTTTAGATTGGTCTCGCTCGCGGCAGGACGAAGCCACCCAGTGCTGCAGAGGCACACGGAATCAGGCCACCGCCAACAAAAAGTCCCGAAGCCATGGAGGGAGAAATGCCTGTGTAAGCAAATTCACGGCCTACGCGCAAGCTCAGTTGGCAAAGGGGATCTTTGGCCCTGGCTTCTGCGAATGGAGGCTCGTCTCTGGTGCGACGCGCTTGGACCGGTAGCCGCAAACGCTGCAGGTGCGGGGACACCAACTTTCTGTAGGTCTGTAGGTCAAGCACATCTTCTGAATGCATCCGCCAAAGCTAAGGGTTTTGGGTTTAGGGTTTAATAAACCCTAAACCCGATCCGGAGCTCAAAGCATGGAGGAAGAAACATCCCTCGAGCAGGCTGGACGAGTATTTGCTGCATTCGAACGCTTTCAATGCAGGCCACAGGGCGAGCAAGAGCCATGCTGCCCACTACTTCTTCAAGATCTTTCGCACAGGGAGCTGTTACTGCGCAGGGCCTGCCTGCGCAATCTTGGAAACTCACTCTGTTGCGGTGCAAGAAATTTCGCGGGCACCAGGACAGGTCCGCTGCAAAAGTGCCTTCGCTCGAATACTTCCCATCCGAAACTGTCGGATGGCCCGCATGTGCCAAATGGCAACGGATCTGGTGCATGCGGCCCGTGGCAATAGTAACATTCACCAAGCTAACAGAGCTAACGCTCCAAGTTTCCTCAGGGCACCCACTCCTCTTTGAGAGTCTGAGGTGCCTGCGCGAGCGCAGCCAGGTGCGGCAAGGCTTCCCTCGGCCTGTCACGGACACCCGGCCTTCCAAGCTCAGCTGCGAAGTCAGCTCCGTCACTGTATTTGGTACCCAGCCATGACAAAGAACCAGATAAGACCTCTCCAGTACACCCGACGCAAGTTGGAGCTGCAAGTCGTGGAAGGCCTCGAAAGTTTTCGCAACCAGGAGAAGTCCAGAGCTGGGCACATCCAGCCGATGCAAGAAGCCAAAGTCTCGCTGCGAATCAGAGAGTATGGGTAAACGCAAGTGGTGCCTCTGGATCCAGTGGTGCAGTTGGAAATCTCCATGCATGTCGTGCACCTCCCACCCAACCGGCTTGTGGACGACAAGCCGATCTCCCGCATCAAGATGGCAGCACGGCTGCACAGCGGTTGGAGCGGCACTCCACATCCTGACCTCACTGAGCGGAAGAACGCACCGGACCCCACTGTGAGCATCGAGAAGCCTTCCGTGGTCGCGGACAAAGCTGGAAGCTTTCCTGCTCAAGGACGCTTGAAGACCCCCTGCTAGAGCACAGCCCCCAACCAGGCCAAGCACCTCTTCGACCTTGACTGTGCCCAGCATGCTCGAGTCTGAGTTTTCCAGTGTCAAGCGTCTGCAGGCCTCCTGCTGGACTCTTTCCAAAACTTCGGCGCTGTGTTGCAAGTCACAGAGACCCCATGCGAGTATCATCAAGTGCTCCATGGTGAAGTCATGAAGATTGCGTTTGATAAGACTGCCCAGTTTCCGCTCAAGGTTCTTGCCGACGGCCCCGAGGGCACGTGCCGCCCAACAGACTGCAGCAACTTGGGCAGCCGGGACTGTGCCAGGCTTCGCAACGAATCGCAGCGCGCACACGCAAGCCCTGTATATTTCATGAGGATCCTGTGAACTCATCTTGGCAAGTGCCCAGAGAGCGAACGCAGGATCTACACCACTGTGGTTCAAAAGTTCCTGCCTGGAGTGAAGCTCCTCTGCTGATTCACATGCAAGATAAGCAGTTCGATAGCTGACTGCGTTCGGAGTACATTTCAGTAATGACATGCTCCTCAGAGTCTCCAGACATCTCTTCCATTGCTTGCCCGTCGCACAGACACTGCAAAGGGACGTCCAAGCTACCACGTCAAGCTGGATCTGCTCCTCTCGAAACAGATGCAGCGACCTCAAAGCATTGTTCCAGCACCCAGCCACATCAAGCGAGACCATCGTCGCACTGCATGAGATGTGATCCAGTTCGATCAGCCGTCCTTTCATGCACCTAACCATTCTCAGAGCCTGGGGCCATCGCCTCACCTCTCCGAAAGCAGACGTGGCGGAGTTTTCTGCAATCAGGCTCGACTGCAGCGCATTGAGCTTCATCTCGGCCAACAGAAAAACAGCTGTCTTCCACTGACTGCTTTTGTCACAGGCTCCTAAGCTTGCTCCCCAGCTGATAGTGTTCGCTTGTAAGCGTTGCTGCTGCGACTCCTGCAAGAGGCGGCATGACCTCTGCCACTTCCTGTGCATGGAAGCGGCCACAATCGTAAAGCTAGCCAGGTCCGGTGAAACCTCCACACTACGCAGATAGTACAATCGTTCTAGGGCCCTTCTCCAGCCCTTCTCCCTGGTAACATCTGACAGCTTCCGGTTCACGTCTTGGATCAATCGCCCACCTCGAAGCGGGTCATCATCAGGATTCTGAGCTTGCTGCCCAAGAACCCCCATAAATGAACTGCACGGCATGCTTGAGACTTCAGAAAAGCCGATTCTGTGGGATAAATGATAAAAGTCAACATGCACACGGTCCATCCGATTCTCGCTGTTCTCGACTGACACAAACTGCCGTGCAAAGTCCTCCTGCACTTCCTTTTTAACGTCAGGCTGCATCCCGGCATGTCAAACTGAAACCCACACCTCAAGATCTGCACAACCTTACGACGACTTATGCTTGGCGCGATGTGCCTATGGACCGACCGGAACCGGGCCCGAGTGTCGGCGGCACGACTGAAAGTAGTGCCAGCTTAAAGCCGACTGCTTGTACTGAATAGCATGTACCGATTGCATCTGAGAGTCCAAGCCTTGCCAAACAGGTGACACGTGATCGAGCTACTGTGGACTTATCGCCACAGCATCACCGGTGCCCTTCGGGTGGCGGGATAATGCCTCAGGTGCCAACTGCGTCGTGAGCAGATGTCCGAGCAACCGCAAGCAACCGCTTCTTCCTTGCATTTCTCTGCAGCTGCAGCTAGAGCAGCTAGAGCCAGAGCCTACATAGAGGTTTCTCGAGGCAGCAGTCAGGCGGTGCCTTTGCAGGCTGGCCTGCGATTGAAAGCTAAGATGCCAGGCGAATTTGCCACGAGGACGCTTATGCGAGGCGGTGTAGCACATGGACCTGGGAGGCACCAGCGCCGAGACTGGACTATCAATAACATGGGAATTCCAACTTTCCTTTTGACTGATGCGACTGCTTGCCAAGGCCCGCTACACCGCGCTGAGTGACGATGATGTCACTGAGACCGCCGACCTTAGATGCTCCACTGAAATCCCGCGACTTAGTGCCAAAGCCTCAAGAAAAAGTAAAGAAGCTCCGTCAGCATGTAATGGAATCGCCGCAGACTGCAAGAGTGCAACACATGACCGGCAGAAGCGTCCGATTCCATCTAGAGCTTCCAGCTGGGAGCTCGAATGCTGCCGCATCGAATTCCTTGTCAGCTTTGGAGCAAAGGGGCAAGGCTGAGTTGCGTCTCTGAAAGGTTTGTCGTAAGTGCCAACTGACTCCCCGATCTGCCTTCCCCTGCTGGCCCTGCGTGATCCATCCTGAGCACCAGAGGCATGGGGAAATCCTGACAGTCGGACCAACACGGTTCTCTCGACTTGATCAGGCCTAAATCGGACAACGATCCGGCTGTCGCAGACTTGCAGTCAGAATGTTCCTGCGTGGGCAGGGCCGGTCATGTCAACAAGATTTCCTCCGTTGGTTCCCTGCCTTGGCGAGCTCTGCGAACTTCGCCGTCAGGCGCTTGTTGGCACCGGCTTCTGGCAAAATTGAACCGCACATGACTGTCCGGACTATCCCCCCAAGGAGATTATGGAAACCCTTCGTGCAAGCCCTCTTCGATGACCATGTAATCCCAAGGAGCCATACTCGAAAGTGAAGACTGTGGCACCATCTCAAAAGAGGCTCAGGAAGCAATCAGAACACAGCGAAACAAGATGCAGATCTCTGTTGTGCGGTAAGGGCACCTGGACCGCTGGTGTAGACTTGATGCAGGACCTCATAGTCAGAACACGGCATGAAATAAGGCGGATATCTCAATGGAAGAATTTGGAAGTCTTCTGGCGTTGGTGCACCAACAGAGCTGGTGGCCTCCAACAGCTTCAGGAGCTGTGCTTCCGCATCTGCCTGCCGGACCGGTGCAAGCGACAACTGCTGACTGAAGCGGGCTCTGCATTCCTAGCGCATGGCATGGAGAGCCTCAATCTCCCTAAATCCTAAACCCTAAACCCTAAAGCTTCCGCAGAGGCACGACTCCTACGAAGGCCATGAAGGCCTGTGTCCGGTCGGCTGGGGCAGGTCTTCGTGCCTTGCCAAACAACGCGGACTTCAGAAGGCTTCCGCTTCCTGGCGAACCCCTGGCTCACCCTAACCACTTAGGGTTTAGGGTTTAGGGTTTAGGGTTTAGGGTTTAGGGTTTAGGGTTTAGGGAACCAGTTACGCCCTCAGGAGCATCGGAACCCGAAAGCATGGGATGTCCGTCCAGAATTAGGAAGCACTCAAGCCTGAAAGCACGGCAGACTGTTCGTCCGACATCAGAGACTGAAGGTGCCGCTGTCGAGAATGGAAATTGCATTACAAGCAGCGCTCTGCTCACACGTCTGGACTCTCGTTGTGGCGTGCGAAAGAAGCAGGCGGCTTCGCAACTCTCGACAAAGTCAGAAGGCGATTGGCCTGCGGATCGGATGGAGCAATGCCAGTAGCTGGCTGGCCTCAGGAAGGCAAACCCTGGCGACAGTCAAACACAGTTGTCCGGTGCACGTTGCTTAGCTGAGCACACTTTAGAAGGATGTGCGCGATTCGGATCCTGCAGGCCCACAGTGGTGCGAGAAACTGCGGTTCCTGCAGAACTCCACCATCCTGGACGGTGGCTTTACCGATGGCAGGATTCTCCTTAGATCGTCTCTCGAAGGAGACAAGCATGGAGGCTCATGTTCGCCTTTCTTTGCAACTCCTCAGAAGCTGAGCTTGCCTCCCATCTGCGGTCTTCAGGCGCTTGGCGGCTTGTGCCTACAGCGGAACCCAAGCAAACTGGTGGATTCAGGGGAGGGGGAGGCTCACGGGGCACGAAGGCCTGGTCCGCTGCTTGGGTGAGAATGTCGTCATTCACATCGACAAAAGCTGCCAATGCCTGACTTTCCGCTTGAAGGGAAATCTTCAGTACTTCGGTGACTTCCCCAGCCAACCACCACTTGGAAGCAAAAGCTGAGCCAGCATGTTGAGCTCGGAACCCCGACGGCTCTCGCCTGGCTTGTGTTCTGGTCGCTGGCGACTCGAATCCGCGATTCCAGTCAAGAAGTGCCAACAGCGTGCCTGCTCTGCGGTCGACATTTCTTTTTTCCTATTGGATGCCGATGCACCCTGAGCAACACCTGCGGCAAGGATTCCAAAAGCGAGCGTCCTTCTGAATCTTGCACAAAGGTTCAAAGCCAGGTGCCAGGCGCAGACAGGCTGCCTTTGGCTTGCCTGTGCATGAGAAGACCCTGAGGCCCTGAGGAGAGTCTGAGGTCCGGCCGGGTCAGGGCAGCAAAACCAGCGGTCCTGCACAAAGCCTATGCTTTTTCGGTGCATGGGCAGGCAGCTTTGGAGAAGGTCCTTCTTTGTGTCACGCTCTTGAAGCGGGTTCACAACAAAGAGAGCTTCACAAGCCCTCACATGCACAGCGCATTAGCTGAAAAATGTGATTTATTAAAGCAAGTTGATGAATCTGTATTAAAGCAAGCTGAGAAAGGTGTCATACAACGTAAAGAACAAGCATGCCTGAGGAGCATAGTACAGCGCCCGTTCGGCGGCTCCGACCAGAAAGCCGTCAAGCCCTTTCGAGGTCCAGATGTTCATCGCTGCGCCCTTGACAAGGTCAATCACGCTCTCCTCCTCCGACTGATCTTGTATCTCGGTCATGACCACCGTGGAGATGTTGTCCACTGGAACTGTGAGCAGGCCCGCACAGGCACCAGCTAAGAAGCCCCAGACCAATCTCTGGGCAAAGAGGTTGAAACCCAGGGGCTCCAAATATTCGGGCGTGAACTCCTTGAAGAACTCGAAGAAAACCAGCTGCAGGGTTCCGTAGGGCACATCGCGCACTAAGATCGCAGTCCAGGAGGCCAGGTAGTATCTGGCAGCCCCTGGCCTGGAGAAGACGATGTCAAAGGCTTCCTCGAAGCCTTTGGCGTAGCCTGCTTGCACCTGCTTGTTCATCAGCTCCTGCAAGTCAGGCCCCTTCATGAAAACAGCAATCTACTAGTTTTACTAGTATCTCGGCCCATCTCGAAGGAAGATCCGGGAACTTCCCTAAACCCTAAACCCTACAGACCCTAAACCCTACAGAACCCCAATCCCTAGACCCTACAGACCCTAAACCCTACAGAACCCTAATCCCTAGACCCTAAACCCTACAGAACCCTAATCCCTAGACCCTAAACCCTAAACCCTAAACCCTAAACCCTAAACCCTAAACCCAAGCCCTAAACCCAAGAAGCCGAGGCCCTGACAAAGGGGACGCGGACCGTCGAGCCGAGGGCATCGGCCACGGCGCCTGCCGGCACCATCCTGGGCTCTTCTGGGTTTAGGGTTTAGGGACTCAGTTGAAGTTACCATAATAGGGATCTATAGTAAACAATAGGGTAAAAGTTACTATAGTATAGTATAAATTACCATAGTATAATAAACACGATAATGCGGACCTGTAGTAAATAATACGAATCTAAAGTGAATTATAGGGTTTTTTAGTTACTACTGTTGATGGACAAAATTCTGCATGACCCAAATATAGTATAGTACCATAAATCCCATAGTTTAGGTACATAAGGTCATGCAGGATTTTGTCCATCAACCGTATCATACAAACCCAGCATCGCCGCGAAGCGCAGGGCCGTGGAGTTCGCCAAGGTCCCGTTTAGCAGCCTGGGAGCAGCCAACGGCTCTTGTGGGTTTGTTTTAAGGGTATTTCGGGTTTATAGGGTTTATAGGGTTTAGGGATTTAGGGGGATTTCGGGTTCAGTCATTGAGGGTTTAGGGCTTGGGACTTTAAGGATTAGGGTTTAGTGCCCCTACCGTCTGTTCCCTGCACAAGGCGCTGAAGCAAGAGGTTGAAGATGGCCCTCTTGAGGAAGTTGAAGGTGCCCAGCAAGATCGATGCATTGGGTGCCTTCAGCAAGCAAGTGCGCTTCTCTTCTTGGAAAGGCGGCATCAACCGCAAATTCTGAGTAGCCTCCCTCACGCCAACTGCCAAGCCAACTGTGCACCCCGCCTCCCTCCCCAAATTCAGCAGAAGGCCATCGAAGAGAGCCAGCGGTCCACCTTCCTCCGGGCCGGGCAGCGCCGTCCGCCCAGTTTGGAGCCGCACCTCGCAGGCGTGTGGGCTCGGACAAAAGCAGTCGCAAGGACGGCCCCGAGCTTTGAAACACGGCCTTGGTGGAATCGATGGGATAGACAATAGTGCAGGCGATGAGGCTTGCGACAAAGCCACAGCCGATGTCCTTCACGAGCTGGTCCGAAGAGCTGCTTGTCCTGCTGGGAACCCACCAGCCGCTCAGATCTTCGATGTGGAAGACGCAACCCCTACGGCCCCACAGTATCCTAAAGTCCGGAAACCCCTGAAAAGGCCGCGAAAAGGAGCCGGATCTGAATGTGTCCCCAGCTGGAACCCGCGATGCTGGCCATGACCGGGCATCTTAAAACCTCCGAAATGCTGCTTTGGCTTTTTAAAGTCCTCGCAATCCACGAGTAGTTGAAAGTTTTCACCTCTGCATCTTGCAGCTCCCTGTTGTAGGTAAGGCGCACGATGGCAAACCTTGGGGTGATTGGAGGCTAAGGGAGCAGCAGGAGGCGGCTTGGCTTCCGGACTTACGGCCCGGTCGGGTGTTTGTGTGTGTGTGCCACAAAACCGTATAATTCCTAAAGCAACCCGAAGCTGAAGCCGAAGAGTAAGGAAATCTGATCTATTCTGATCTCATCGAGACGACTTCGGCTTGCCGTCGATGCGCGCCACCCACAAAACTCGTCCCGTCTTCCCCTGGCCACCGCAGAATGACTCTTGATTTTGGGGATGTGCATCCAGTGCAGCTCGGATGTTCAGAAGATGCTACTACAATAGGCTTGGCCCTGTCGAAAGCTTGCGCCACTCATCATCACATCTTATCACATACTATTGTACCAGCATGAAGACGAAGACTGATGACCAAAAGGAGCCTACAAAGAAGCCAAGCAACTGCAGAAGCAGCTGCTACTCCCCCTGCCCCTGCCCTGGCACCAGCCTTGTCGGGTCCCAGGAGAATCACCACATCGTCGCGCACCAGAGGCGGCTCCAGCTCGGGAGGCTCCTTGGAGCTGGGGTTTAGGTTTGTCTTTTTTTTAGGGAGGGGGGTTTAGGGTTTAGGTCTAGGAGTTTAGAGCTTAGGGCGTAGGGCTTAGGGTTTAAAGCATGTCATGCGAGGTCGCGTGCTCGGACGTGAAGCGCCCCGGGCGTCGCTCGCAAAGCCGCCCCCCCGTTTTCATTTACGGCCTCCAGCTTGCACAGTCAGGGCGGAACAAGAGGCGTCAGAGCGGCTTATGGATGCGGGCACTGTCGGCAGAGGCCCACAAAAGCCCCAAATTATAGAATTTCAGCTCCTTGTGGGCGTTTTTGTTCACCGTAAGCATTTTCTGGGTCTTTGCCGCCGGGACCACCCAAATCCTTACAGAGCTCCTTGGCATTAAAATTTCGGAAGTCAACAGATTTTCGAGATTGAACGTCCAAACTGGCACGACAGCACCAGCGGGAATAGCATGGCCATGGACATTGCGGGTTAAGACTTCCACTGCTAGCCTTCGAGTGCAGGGCAGCGTCCAGGGTTTAGAGTCGAAGGTTCTCGGCTTTCAGATGAGTCTCGTACTCAATCTTGTCCAGGCTAACAATCGCGGCAGACTTGTCGCCTTCATAGCCTTCGTACAAGTCTCCGGCCTGCACACAGAAATTGTTAAGATTGAACGGCAATGACAGTCATGCTGTCTGCCACCACCACCATCACCGCCACCACCAGCTAGGAACACATCTGCGACTAGTACTACCACTGCTACTACAACTCCCACCACTACCACTGCTACTCTTACTGCTCCAGCTCTTGGTCCTTCCTCTTCCTCTTATCATCACTACCATCACCACCACCACGACTACGACTACTGCCGCTCCTACTACGACGGCGGCGACGACGACGACGACTACTTTTACTTTTTGCTTCGCAATAACTTTTGCTTTTACTTGTACTAGTACTACTACGGTTGATGGACAAAATCCTGCATGACCTTGTATACCTAAACTATGGGATTTATGGTACTATACTATATTTGGGTCATGCAGAATTTTGTCCATGTACTACTAGTACTACTAGTACTACTAGTACTACTAGTACTACTAGTACTACTAGTACTACTAGTACTACTAGTACTACGAGTACTACTAGTACTACTACCACCACCACTACCGCTACCGCTACCACTACCACTACCACTACCACTACCACTACCACTACCACTACCACTACCACTACCACTACTGCTACCACTAGCACTACCGCTACCACTACCACTACTGCTACCACTACCACTACCACTACCGCTACTACTACTACTACTACTACTACTACTACCACTACTACTACTACTACTACTACTACTACTGCTGCTACAAACTACTGCTACTGCTGCTACCACCACTACCACTGCCACTGCCACTACGGCTTCTATTTCAGTTTACACCATGCAGATGAGGATGATGATGACGATGGCGATGATGAAGACGACCTCGGCATTACTTGCTACAATCATGAGTATCACTATGTTTATGAGTGTTTTGCGCTGCCATGCTTGTTTCCCACACCCTACACCCTAAAGCCCTTAAATCCTGAACCCCGAGCCCTTGCTCGGCGCAAGCCCGCCCAGGCCTTGAGGTATCTGTCGTAGGACAAACTCATCAGGGCGCTAGCTTCCTCAGCCCCTGCGCTGCGCGGATACTCTAGTGGCCTTCGGGCTTCGGGTTTAGCGCGGGAGGTTTGGAGGTTTAGGGACGAGGGTTTCAGGTTTGAGGTTTGAGGGTTTGGAGTGCCATGGCTTTCGGCATAAACATCCTGTTTGGCAAGCTCAGTTCGAACTGTCTGCGACGCTAAGGTTTATCGGGTATCGGGTATCTTTTTGTTTTCGATATTCAGCCTCAGGTCACCAAGTTTCGGCCTAGGGACTGGATAAGTTCTTCTCTGCCACAGCCTCTTCCAGCTCACGCACATGCCTGTAAAAGGCACCAACCTCGTAGCGGAGGGAAAATCGGAGCGATTGATCCACTGGTGAGTCACTGGGGAAGGCGGAGTCGGTGTATCTCGTGAAAACCTCGGAGACTCGGATACTCGCGACATCTCACGACCTACAACCGCGACAGTTGCTGGACCCCCGGGGTTTAGGGTTTATGGTTTAGGGTTTAGGGCCCGGGCTGACTGAAACAAGCGGCTGGCAAGTAGGCTTGTAGTAGATTTGGATAGATTGCCAGGTTCTGCCAGTCCTCGTCGTAAACATCTTGCTGCAGGTCCGCCAAATCTGCAGCAACTCCACGTAAGCGCTTGAGAACCTCACATGGTCCGGTCTATGCATAGACAACGTTTGTCAACCCGTGTGGCCATCTGCCTGATCCTTACATCGTCTCCAAATCCGTTGGAAGGTTGTTTGGTTCCTTAAGGGGTTTGCGAGTAGACAGTCCTTCGGGGAACCCTTCCCTTGGGTTGGACAACCCGAAGCATGAAGCTGTTCCTTTGGGCTGCTGCAGTGCTTCACCCCGTGTCAGACATCGACAGGAGATATCTCTTCATTAGAGGCATCCTCCCCTCACACGCAACAGCCCAGGATCAAGAAGGGTAGCAACGCAAAGCAGAACAAGTCAGAAACCTAAAAATCGCATGGGCTCTGCGGCGCCCACTGAAACCCCATCCGAGGCACGGCTCTGGGGACTCGCCGCCACGCGGCCTGGGAACATTAATTAGGACTCGTTCTGGAGGACCTACACCCGGACTCGGTTCAGCTGGGTGCCGGAAGGGTAATTCAGGGTGCGGGTCAGGGTGCAGGCAAACCACTGATTGACCCCACATAGCTCACCCGATCACGCACACAGGAAAACTGCCATGTCGACGCTGAATCTTAGAAGACGGTACGGTGTGCGCAGCATCGCTGCGCAGTATTCAGTGCCACTTTGAGTGCCAACAGCCATCGGCGAAACAAGAGCAGAGAACAACCTGGTCCCTGCAAGCACTTGAGCCTTCTCATCCGTTCGGAGGGCAGCGCGCCACTCCGGTTTCAAAAGTGCTCCTGTGGCTCGGTGTCGGAAGTACGACACTGCGTTCGCCCGGACCGGGAAAAGTAAATCGGAGTCGCTTTCTCCCTTCACCCCGAAGGCCTGAACCAAAATGTTTGCGCCCTTCCACCAAGCAAGGAAGAAAGGAAGCCTCCTCTCCCTTGAACCTCCTATCATCGCCGAGGATCGCCAGTCTGGGAAGGCCGAGGCAACAGTCTGGGAGGACGCAGTGGGGGACCTTTGCACTTAGGCTAGGTCGGCTCGGTCTGTCGGAGCTTCTTACCAAGAGGGGAGGCCCTTAGACAGGACGAAGACATGTTCTGAAGAGTCCGATCCGAGCAGCTGCATTGTTGCAGCACCCACGTCGGCGGTGGCACTGCTTGCCAGCAGGCACCCTGCGAGAAGCATCACAGCAGCTAGATGGAGTGGCCTTCAGGGCTCAGACAGCACAGCCGCAACCGGCACAGATCAGTTTGGACAAGCACCACCACACCTTCCCAAAGTAGCTTCCGCTGCCGCCTGTTGCGGCTTCGCAAGAACTTCTTCAGCAGGTCTTCTCGACAGTCTTGGCTGATCCTTCCAGGTGTTACCTTTCGGCTGCGCCGATCGGGCCAGATCCACGAAAGCCTCTCGCAAGCCTAGAGTGCACAGCAGGCTGCATAAGAGCAGTGCAGCTCCACATCCCCGGCGACTTCGAGGCATCCTTGCATGAATTGCCTGCACTTCGAGCCTAAACAAATGCAAAGTCAGGGCCGGCACCGGCCGGTCCCGTCTGCAACAAAAATCCAAGCTTTCCAAACTTTCCGCAAGAAAAGCGCCCTTCACGACGCAGGGCCTTTGTGCACCGAGACAGCCTCAGCAATCTGAGCCTCGGTAACTTCCGACCTCAGCTGATTCAGTCTATGCACGGCTCTACACGACTCTTGTACGTGAGATGTGGGATTTCGCTGTGGAGGCCAGTTTTGCTCCACGCTTGCAACGATACGGTACGGTCTGCGGCTTCGGGAAGACATCTGGCGGGCTTAGCCCATGCCGGAATGCGCTGACTGCATGCGAGAGTTTTCTGAAGGCTTTGCCTCAATGTCGCAGAGTCTCTTCATGTGCGTCAATCTGTAGCGGAACGCGATGTCCGACAGCCTTTGGCATACGGCGCTTGCCTCTCACCGAGTACGGTCCTGTCGCCTCAGTCGCGAACTTGCTCCATACAGGCCCCAGTGCATGGCTTCTCGTGCAGAGGCTTGGGATCACAGACTTCTGTCATAGAATTGCAGACTGCCCGCCTCATTTGATGCAGCCTCGATGTGATCGTCACATTGCTTCTGTAGGCTTTGTACTATTTCTAGACGAGCCTTTTCGCCGCATCCATCATTTACTTGATGCGAAGAAGTTGAAGACTGGAGACAGACAGACCGACGGACAGGCAGACAGATAAACAAACAAAGGGAGAGAGAGAGAGAGAAGTGAGATGCAAAATGGCCTCTGCCAGCCATCAGTGATTCGCCTTGGACCATGTCAGCCATCATGCCACCCTGCGTTGAAAGAACACTCGACGTGCTGCCATGCAGTAGCAACTATCCAATAAGAGCACAGGATGTGCGGCAAAGGCGCTGTTCGACGGTACACACATCGCCTCGCCCAGGAACCCTCTTTGTTCCTGGCTCCTGTGGCGCGAGATGGTGAGATGCTGCCAAGCTTCAGTTGCCTTCATATGCCTTCTTGAGTTCGACAGGATGGTACAAGTGCTCACTGACTTCGCGCGGATTTTTCGGGTTGCCCTGCCCCCCCCCCTCCCCCCCCAACGACATCCGACGGATGGAAGGGTCTGGCATCGGTCAAGTCTCGTCCTTCTTCTGCTCACCTTCCAACGCCTGGCGGGCCGGGCCCGGCTCAACGTGCGCTGCATTCTGAACTCTCGAGCTCTAGAAATGCAAGGCAAGGCAAGGCAAGGCAAGGCAAGGCAAGGCAAGGCAAGGCAAGGCAAGGCAAGGCAGTCTGCCAGTGTGTCGTCACAAGTCGAAGAGCCCAGCCGCCCGCCTGATGGCCGTGGCCTCCCGAATGATCCTGTAGCAGGGCAAGAGGCAAGCGTTGCTCCAGGCTCATGTCGGCAAAAAACATGTACGGGAGAGAAACGCAAGCAAAGCTCACTGGAGGTTCAGCCAAGATTCAATGTACAAGGCTCCGGACACACCAGGTCCATAGCTCATCTCCGGATGCTGCAACTTGGTTGCCATGAGCTGGAGTCAAAACAGAGCCATGGGGTCAAAGAATCGTCAACCATCGCCAATTCACTAAGTTTCCAGCAACTGTTCCTTTGCCACCGCCCTGCGTGCCTGCACTCCACACCACGTGGCACATGAATAGCACGTTGTATGCAGTGGGTTTCCTGGACATTGGAAAATGACACTTCGTTGGAGTCTTGCAACACTGCCATTCCGAAGCGGATTTCCCCTTGTGAATGCCAAGCTGACCACTCATGTGTCAGAGCCTTGGAGGCTGTGACCGAAAGCTGGGGCTTGAACCACCCAGGCGCCAAGGGGTCATTCCAGATATACCTCTGGGGTCTAAGACGAAGCACATTTTGACAGGGTTGCTTGATGTTCAGCAAACATATCAAAAACATCAGAACCCGAAAATAGCCGGACCTAGCCAGCACATGACCCCGGCAGCACGCGCCTGGTCCATAACTCCTGCAATCCAAAGACAGATACTGCGTACTATGAGTACTCCTTCCGCTTCGACTTGCAAAGCTGGGTGCAACACATCTCCGGGTGAGTCACCATCGTGCAGTTCCCACCCCTGCCGGCGCTCTCTGCAGTTGCAGGTCAAAGCACAAGGCCCGAAAACTCTGAGTAGGGGGCCGGAAATGCGACATGTCTCCCATTGTCGCTTGTGAAGCTTCGCAGCAATCACCTCAGACTCTCTCGGCGATCCCACAAAATCTCGCTGTCGGTAGCACAAGAGCCATTCTCAAGTGGTGCGTCCGAGAGGCTGTAGGATAGCCACTGAGTGGCAAGGCTTCGAGCCGAAAGGGCAAAAGCTGCCCCCCACCGACCATGAACGTCGAGGCTACGACACTTTGATGGTTTAAGAGGCATGCAGTGCAGGCGGACAGCGAGGCTAATGTCTGGGGCACAGACATCCCTTCTGTCAGGAGCATGATGCAGCATGTGCTGTCGTCCTCCACATGGATAACCTCAAGGGGGTCACCCAGCAACCCGAACTTTGTGCAGGAATCACGGACCAAGCCCTACCAGGGCCTCACTAACGATTTCAAGGCCGACGAGTTTTCGCGGCCTGGGGCAAACTGCGGAACACTCACCGAAAAAGGCACCAGAAAAGCGCTGAGATGGCATCCTCTTGAGGTCCCGAAGGCCCAAAGCACGAGCCTGTCACAGCGCAATCAATCGTTAAGCCACGGCTTTGTGCAACAGCGAATCTTGAAGCTGAGTTCACGGCAGTGTTCACGGCTCTACTTTCTGATGGAGGCGACCACAGCCTGTGGCGCCACAGAACGAAGGAACTGAAAAACTCCGGCAGAGGACAAAGAACCCGACTGGGCCACAGGTCTGGCCGCAGCATCCACCACCTGAAGAAGGAGAATGTGCGAATGGCCCGAACAGGTGCGAAAAGATGCGAGCCTCTCCCATGATGCCCCAGGCTCTGTCGGCACCCTCTGGTGAAGCCGCGGCCAGGTTTGTCAGAACCGCCTTGGCAAATCTGTCAACAGAAAAACTGCTGAAACCAATTCCGAGTCCCAGCTTCCCCCAAACGAACAGGCGCTTCTTGGCTGGTCAGATTAAGCCATCTGCACGGTAGCGCGTTTCCACTTGTGCGTTGGCCATGGCCTCTCACTGTGCTGGAGGAGAGCGACGCTTCTTAAGGCAAATGCATGACAGTGTCAACCGACAGCAAGTCCCAGACCTCTCCGCACCCTGGCTCAACCTTATAGCCGGGCGCGGCTTGAGAGGCAATTTGGAACCAGTGCACTGCATCTTTGGTCGCGGGCCCCGAGGATGGTCGATGCCCGCTTCTGCGACCTGAAAGCTTCTGACGAGGGAGTCGAGGCTACTGTCGGATCTGAGAATCCGGGTAGCCAACACTATGCCACCCTCATCATCCATAACCTGCCAGACCGGCCGGATTGGCATGGCATCTCGGCACCCACCTTCCTTCGCTGAGGGCGTGGCATAACAAACTTCTGCAAGCTGATGGGTCCCGAAGGAGTCCAGACCTGAGAATCGACGGGCAAGGAGCGTTGCTTGGGCACGCTTCTGTTGCAGATCTTCTCCGTTGCTCCAGAATGAAAATTAGCTCCAGGGTCACAACTGAGCATGGCTTCGACTGCCTTGCCTGCAGCCTGGCAAACTTGGACATGCACAGTGTGTGCTCTGGCCTTCTTCTTTCTCTAGAGGATTCTACTTGTAGCCGCCTTTACCCTGCCGAGGGCAGCAGTGCAAAGAGGATCTCCATCCGGTGCCCCTACCTGAACAGCCAGCCCAAAGAGTGCCGCTCGAGGTCGACATTGGCAATGAGAAGCTGTCTAAGCTCATCTGGAAGCTGGGAGACCCACGACTTTCTCAAACTCCTCTACGGCCTGAAGCAGCTCGATATGTAGGATCGGCTTCATTGCTTTGCTTGCAGGAGGGGTGGCATCCACAAACCCTAGACCCAGGCAAGTCCCATTCCTGCCCCCTTTCCCACGGGAGCCTTCTGCACAGTGGCAGGGGTCGCAGTCATTGCCTATCGCAGCTGTGGCTCCATGACAGTACGAAGCTTGCTGACTCTGCGTGCCTCTGCAGCTGTCAAGCCCAGAGCCGCAAAATGGTGAGCCTCATCGAGTCCAATCTGGAGCAGGACTCAACAACCGGCAGTTGCCTGACGTAGTGCGACATGCTAGGCTCGCCGCAGCTCGCGCTGCTCGTCGTATGGCTCGCTCACGTTCGCTGGGAAGCTTTTCCAGCTCTTCAGCTGTTGCCTAGCCGGCTTCCCGATGCATTCACTCTGACAGAACAGCTTCACCCGCAAAAAGCATCTTCTGCCCGTTGGACTACTGACAAGCGCTGTCGAACATCCTTTTGATCTGCTTCAGGGCACGCGGCAAACAGTCACGGGCCAGTGACAGTCTGCAGGAATTACTTTCACCGCATGTCGCAGACCCGGCTTCTCGGGGCCTGAACCTCCGACTGCAAAGATCTGTCGATCCGAGACATGTCCGCTTGCATCCGCTTGCGCACACATGGAAAGCTTCGTGTCCCGGATCCGTGGAGCTCCCAAGTCCCGAAGCATCGCGAGTCGCAAGATGTCGCAAGAGCACTCGCCGCGCTCGAGTTGGTGGACCAAGCTGACACCGCGGCCACTGTCTCGTGGGCTCAATAGCCCTTCGACTTGTCAACGACGACCCGGAAGCCGGAAAAGCCTTCTGTCATAAACTCGTCCAGTCGTTCCAGAAATAGTTGCCAGTTTTCATGGGCACACCTGGCACGGAAGCTGACTCGCTTGCATCATGTCTTCTGAGGCGAAAAAGCGTCTCCAAAAACCTTGCCAGCATGCTTCCGCGGCTCTGTTTTGCCATGTATGGGGCTGCATTGTGTGGGCTCATCAACCTCGGACAGCCCAGCATTGAAGCAGCAGATTGCCAAGGCTGAAAACAGACTGCGACATGTGCTACCATAGGAATGCGATTCTCGATTCTTTTGGCTGTTTCAAGTTTCGAAAAGGACTGTCTTGCCAAGCATTCAGCTGCGGTACAGACTCTCGCATCTCCACAGCGGGGAGTCCGGTGGCAAAGGCTCCTGAGTTCAGGCCGAATGTGGCAGCGTAGGCTCGCAGATTGAACGTGGACCAAGAGATAAGAAATCCACAACAGCATCCTTCTCGAAGACGTCCAGCGCTGCCCCCGCGATCTTGCCGTGCAACAACCTCGCCACACTTGCTAGCCGAACGGTGAGAGGTCCCTTCCTCCCTCCCTTACAGGCACTTGTCCACTACAGCGAGTCGCGACACTGAGCTCCAAGCAGGTCTTCCAATGCTGCTTCATCCACACATGAGCCTCCAGGCTGAGGGCCGAAACAGCAAATTCTGCTGTCCCAGACATGGCACCCGAGACACCCAGCTTCATGACGGCCTCGGCCTAGCGAGATGAACACGGAGGTGGGCTTCATGGCCTCGGAGGGTGCCGGAGCTCAATGGCTCGTGGAGGTACGTGGAGCACGTTAGCGCTTTGGAGTTTCGCTGCTCACTCTTGGGCTTGCAAAATCTCAAAGCTAGAAGCTTGAGGATTTGGAGGGCTTGAAGCTGCATTCAGGGAAGGGACGAACAGCTTGATAAGAACTGAAACCAGCACGATGAGATGGGCAGCAAAAGTTGCACAATTGACCGTGTAGACATCGGGACAAACGCAAGATGCATGGAAGTTGCTTAGGCAGTTCCCTCGCGTTTTCATCTCCCTACTTCTTAGGAGGGTACGCAAAGCTGCACGCCATCATGGCAAAGGTTCACTGTAAGGCCCGGGCATGCAACTCCTCTGCCTGAGATCACTGCCAGGGAGAAGTTGCAGAGCCATCTCGTGACTTTGTGGCTGTGGTACAACTTCCAACAGAATAAGTTGCAGAGAGGGTGCTCCGCAGCAGTGGTACGTTGCAGAGCCACCAGGCAGTGTACAAACGATGTAGTCGGACTGCTTAAAGACTTCCTGCCGCAATGAACTGAAGCTGTCTACAGGCCAAACTGCTGCAAGAGAGCTTGTAACCATAACCACATGCTGATTGAGCAAGAGTTCAGAACTCCGATCCCTCTCGCTTCCTACACGGCAATGCCGTACAAGACTTGCTGGCCACTAGCATGCATGCCTGCTTTGCGCCAACTCCGTCGCTGGCATAGAAGACTTCGTCGGCCAACTCCTCACCCGAGGCTCCCCGGGTATTCCGCCACGCAAGGATCCGCATGCCAAAGGTCTTGCAGAGGCGCGCCGTGCACTGTGCGATATCGCCGAAACCAATGAACCCGACGGTTTGTCCGTGGAGTTCGTTCATGATGAATTTGTCCCACGTCTTTGTCGCGCGATGTTTCTGTAATCTCGGGATCTGCTTGTTGAAGTGCAGCATCGCTGCAAGGGCGTATTCGGCTAGGGATCTCGAGTAAGCTCCCTTGGCATTGGTCAATGGGATCTCCGAACCCCCTGGCAGGGAGTTGAGCACCGGCACCAGCGTGTCTACTCCCGCGGCCAGGCTGTGGATCCACTTCAAGCGGATCAGATGAGGCCACAAATCAGCCACTGCTGCAGGGTCGCCACCAAAAACGAGAATCTCCACAGCCTGCAGAGTCTCGAGTTCGCCCTTGAAGTCAGCTAGAGAATTGCCAACAATCCAGGTCGCCGATCTCCTCTTCGCGTGAGGGGGCCGTGACTCGAGCATACTCTTATCATATTGGACCGGATCGGTAATCCTACTTGCTGCTAGTCTTAGTATGTACAGTATCAGCGGCCGTCATACTCGATTGCTCTCTTTCTCCGAGGATCTGGGAGAGTTGCGGCAGGCATTCCACGACAGCAGCGCCATCGCTGGATAGCTCATCCACAACCACGGCAACAAGAGGCATGGAGGCACGGAATCTCCGAAGCGAAGACTAGCAAATGGCAAAGAGGCAACGGAAAATGTTGCAATGAAACAGAACCCAAATCGAGAGAGCTGCGACCACTGAGGCAAAGGCACTGCAAGCAGAGAGGCTATCCCCTGGCTTGCCCTCAAAGTCCAGCGGCGCATACTCCTGTCTCCACGGCCCTACACATCCCAGCCCAAGTCCGAGTCCGAAGCCTTGAGTCGCCGATGCCGCCCCAATTTCTCTACGTCGGCCAGTGCTCGGCCACCAGAGCGACTACCTCGGAAGATGACCAAAGGCACGCGACGCCACACGAAGGCTCGAAAAAGCCGCGAGGTGACGCCCCGGTCTGAGCCCCCTACCACCGACAAGCAAGCGAGCATTCCAAACTTCTGGTTGCCTCAAGCATACAAACTTGCTTCCAGATGTGAAAGCAGAAGGACTCACTACAAACGGTAGAGTCTCCGAGCGAGTCTGAGTGCGCAAACGGCGGCTGAGAATCGCCTCCCTTTGGCGGCGTGCACCTTGAAACAGGGCAGACTGAGAGCTGACCACGGGTGCACAGCACGTGTCTGCAACTTCCGATATGAGGGCATCACATCACTGCGCGACAACCTCCAACGTTGGCTACCTGCCGCATACTAGTCAGGAATCGGAATTCGCTGCCAAAAGAACTCGTCTGGGCACAGACACTATTGCGTCATCAACGAACTTGCTGCCAATGAATCATGGTGTGGAAAGGGCGCACCAGCACCCGCTGCCCCAGGACTAAGAGCAATGCCTGGGAGTGAAAAGGCCGGCTTAGGTTCGTGCCACTCTTGCAAGCGAGGTTGCACACAAATCCCGAGGATGATGCCAGACCGCAGCCTGAACGCAGGATCGTATGAGCAATCACTCAACAGCCTCCAAAAAGGCTTCAAAAACTGGTAGTACTTATTATTCAGACCACCAGGCCACGAACAACTACAACTCCTGCTGCCCAGGATGACTGGTGCCACTATTCCTGCTGTCGTTCGGACTACCTGTTGCTGTTGCTGTTGCGCGCGTCACTGCTATGCAGAAATTCGTGCAAGGCAACACGCATCAATCTGTGGCCTGAATATCGCGCATTGCTCTCTAAGAGGGACTTGTCCAAGTCTTCAATGGCCTTAGGAGGGAAGCCAGGAGATCGAAACTGAAACAGAGTCGAAGGGTCAACGTCCAAGTCTGCTTCAAAAGCATTCGCGCAGAAAGACTGGCCCAGAGCAACGCAGAACTGGCCTGGTGGACCATGTCGATCAACTCGAAATCTTCTGGCCTGGGGATTGGCGGGCGGATGAAAAGCCTGCACGTCCGAATGGAAAAGATCACCGTCGTCGACAACTTCCGAAGCAATGCCAAGTAGCTCGTCCTGACGAGCGCTAAACCTCAGAGGTTTCGGCACAAGATCCAGGAGCAGGCAGAAAGTATCACGCACGACATGCCGACAAAGTCCGAGGAAAGTCAGGTGTCCAGCCGAGGCAGAAAGAAGGTGTGGAATCTTTGCGCGCAGAATAATGCTGCGGCCTGATTGCATGGCACGCACAATCAAAACCTTCGGCGAAGTCGAAGATGCACGGACTAGCTCCCGGCGCTAGAGTCACGAAGACCATCAACCAGTAGGAACATTGCCGCAGGCCGGTCCTTCATGCAAACCGCACTCAGACTCTTGGCCATAATCAAGCTTCCGCGTGGCAAGGCCGACCGAGCTGGACCCTTGTCGTAAACCTCCCAACCCCTCCAAACCCAAGCCCCTCAACTCTGCGATGAAACCACTAAACCCTAAAAAGAAAACGCTGCAGCTCTCAACCTCTCAACCCTAAACCCCCCAACAACCTCAACCGCCTGTAGACCCCTCACCCTCTCAAGCCGGGCTCACCATGAAAAGGAGGGGCTGCTTGAGAAGATGGCAGGTTCGATGGAGCTCGGGCCTCGGCTCTCAACAGACTTTTTGGGGCCTTCAGGGGAGGGGGGGGGATTGAGGGCTCAGGGTTTGAAGGGTTTGAAGGGTTTAGGGTTTAGGGTTTGAAGGGTTGAGGGATTAGGCTTGACGGGTTTAGGGTTTAGGCTTTAGGTTTGAGGGGCGTAGGGATTGGGGTTTAGGGTTCAGCAGCTCCAGTTCAAGCAGTCTCTAATCGGGACACCCACCCAAGAATCCCCTAACATTAAAGTAAAACTGTATCTAAAACTACCCTAAACCCCGAAACCCTAGGCCCTAAACTCTCACCCCCAAAACCCTGAGCACCGAACCTCTAAGTCCTAAACCCTAAGTGGCGCACAAAACATTGACAGATTTTTCGCTTGTAGCATGGGAACGCCAAGAGAACGCTCAGCTTATTGCTTCGCTTATCGAGGGTCGGACGATAAGAGTATGCCTGGCTTATTGAGGGTGGTGTCAAAATCTGTTCGCATGTATTAACGGACGATAAGGAATATGCTTCGCTTATCGGGGGGTCACTCAACACATCTTCATGCGAAGTTTTGCTTCGTGGTGCCCTTAAGCACCGAAACCCTCAGCCCTAATTTTAGAACCTAAAGCCCCAAAACCCAAGGCCTTCAACCCTTAGCCTCCAAGCCCCGAAACGGTCCAAACTCTGCCCTCAACTCTAAGCACCAAAGTCCTAGACGCGAGCTAAGCCTCAAGCCCCAGGCCATAAACCCCAGGACATGAAGCCCTAAGTCGCCCCAGAATCCTAGGCCCTAAACCCTAAGCCTGCTTAAACCCTAAGCCACAAAAACCTAAACCCTAAAGCCCCAAAACCCCAGGCCCTAACCACGGAGACATTGCATGCCGGCGAAGTTCGTGGGCATTTTGGGGGACACATGATCTCTTCGTGGGCATTTGCGACTTCCTCGAGTTGCCCTTCTTGGGCATCCGCGAAAGCGGGCCGAAATCGTAAATGCCCGAAGCTTGAACACATATGAAAGAGAGGTTCAGGGTTTAGGGTTACTGTGTAGGGATTGTGGCTCTTCAGGCATCCAGCACGTTTCGGGACATGCCAGGCGAGGCTCTTGGCGAGTGGTTTATGGCTTTCAAAGTAATTTAGGGTTGTAGTTTAAGGCCTTCAGGATCTTTGGAGCTCTTCTCACTGCTGATGGACACCATCATGCAGCATACTTAAGCGGGAATCTGCCACAACTCCTGCGGTTTGGCGGCCTGAGGGGTAAACGGTATCAAGCCTCTATGCGGTTTTAGGGTCCATCGACTCCATTCTCAGGATATCTTGCTGACGGTTTGGGCCCCCGGAGGCACCCAGTTGGGCTCAATCCTAAAACCAAGCTGCGACGAAATGGATGAGAGACAGAGTCTGGTGTTTCCTTATTGGGCAATAATAAGAAGACCTCATCACGCCTAGGGCCTAGTCTGGTCTTGTTCATGAAGTGCTAAGCCCCGCAGAGATCTCAGATACTATCATGAGATTCTCTTGCTCTTCTTCCTTGTCGGCTGTCTGAAACACGATATACACAAAGACAAGGGCTCAAGTTTCTCGAAGTCTCGCTCTTGCTTGTAGGAAGTTGTTGGCAGGAGTCTTGACTTGGGTGCACGGCAGCAGCACTGCCATGGTGTCTTTTCGACCACCTGCTGCTGGCAAGCACGCCGAACCTGGCCAAGCACATCAAGCGAGCTCCGCTCGGTTCACCCTCACCGAGGCTCAAGCCATTCGAGATGTGCACTGGCTGAGTCTCCGGATGGTGCCTTGGTCCGGGATCGGGGCCCACTCGGACTCGCAAGACCCGACACGGACTTTGCAAGCATGGCATTTGATCATTTGAGCAGCTGGCGGCGTTCCTGTTTGGACCCACCTTAGACCATGTTGGCGACGCGACGCAACCCGCAAGCAACGCTAGGTAGCATTTCATGCAGTGTCTGGGGTTCTGAGATGCCTTCGTCTTGGGAAGCTGGACAATACTATTTTCTTTCACTCAACCTCTCTGATTTCTGCATCTTCTCCGCCTGACATCTGGCAGCCTGGACCGGGGGTGCCTGCCTCTTGGGGGTCCTCAAGTCCTCGTTGCATCCAGCTGGCGCTTGTCGCCGCCGGGGCATTCTACTTGCTCGATCTTGCTCGTGCAGGAGGCTGGGCTGGGTGGAGCACCCGCCGACACGAAGGGCTTGTCATGCTCAAAGCCATGAGCTGCGAGAAAAGCTGCAACTCACTGCCGCTTCATCAGCTCCACCAATTGATGCCTGGTCGGGGCAGGGTTTGCTGCAGCTCGGCCACACCTCCAAGGATGTTCTCCCAAAGCTAACCAACAAACACGAGAGGCCTTTGGAGGACTTCCTGAGTGGAATGTCAACCACTCATGGTCAAAGACATTGCTCTGTTACGTCTTGAATATGCAACGAAAGGCTGCACGGGGCTCTCTCTAAGAGGTGTAGCGCACAAGGCCAAGATTCTTGCCCGCGGCCTTGCCGACCATCTGAGCCCTCAATGTGCGAGACGTACGGATTCATGGGATAGTCACGTCTGCTGTCGGTGATCTGTCTGAGTCTAAGCATCACACTTTGGTTGTCTGGAGTGATCCGCTGCGGGGATGGGGCCGGACCATTTTGGCAGTGGAGCCATCTGGCCTTTGCCACCTTTGCCGCCTTTACCGGCTTCTACCAGAGGTTCTCTGAAACGCAAGGAGTTTTGACGAAGTAGCTCCTCGCGACATAGCACAAACCAAACTGATCGATGCAGAAGGGCAGGACAGCTCTGTCCTGCAGCAGCGATATGAGCTCCTTGTCCTTCACGCCACCTTCTCTGGCAAAGGCGGTCCCACCATCCGTTGAGATCCTTGACTCTTTGCTAAAACCCAGATCGCAGGACTCAGAACTGTAGCTACTCAAGCACGCATGCAGCGACATGTTGATTGTCTGTGGAATCCTCAACTGCGGTCATGTCTCTGTTCGGCACACTCGAACAAGGCATCCTGCCAGTTTGTGTAGCTGCGAAGTATAAGGCCTATGCCCACAAGAATTAAGTTGCTGTGCAGTCTGCAGACTGCCCGGCAGAATTCCCACAAGCAAATGCTTCAGACAAGTGTACCCAATGCAAGCATGCGCGAAGCTACACTACCCAGGGTGCGCCCAGCACGTTCCTCAAGTCTGCTTCGCAAAAGCAGGACCAAGTGGACCGTGTCCTCGATTTGCCACGGCAGACAGCTTGGATTTTGGTAAAGTCAAGCATGGTGGTTGCTAGCATCGCACTGACAACCTGCACTTAATTCATCCCAAGCTTCAGGAGGCACGGGACCGATCCGAATCCAATCCGCAACCACCACACATCTTCCTTCCTGCCCGCGCACGTCGAGTTATGCAGCATACTTCGTATCTGACAAACGAATCGGAAATTATGGCATCATACTGCAACAAGGGATCCTCGGAATCCATGCGGATCTCCGAATTTGTGAATGGCTTGAGCAACGCCAACAGCGGAGGCATGTTGGTGAGCTGCCTGACAAGGTGCTTGCTCTCTCATGAATCATAGACCAATCATGACCAAAGCAACGTGCTCAAACTAGAAACGTTTGCCTGCACCGTGCAGGTCTCCATCCCTCCTCTTGCACTCGATCCAAGAACGCGAACAGCGGTGAAGGAAAAACCTTGATGTGCAAACACATCACGGCACAGAAATCGAGGGTGTCATGTGAAGCTAGTGGGCCCGATGCCGCTGCATCAGAATGCGGCCAGGATGCAAAAGAATTCTTGCAGCAGTTAAGCGAGCTTTTATGAACCATCCCTTTGGTGTCCTGCAAGTGACGATTGTATTTTTGCCCGCCCTGNNCCCCCCCCCCCCCCCGCCACTCTTGGCTAGTTGCTCGTCCTCCTCGACCCAGAGATGCCGCTTTTCTTGGTGCACTGCCTGAGAACTTAGCGTTGGGAAGCACATTGTGCAACAGCGAACATGCGACGAGGCCGCAGCCATGTGTGGCAAAGCGGTGACAAGGCCGAGCAAAACAGCTCCCCATTGCCACTCCTTGAGTTCTCCACTGCTTAAATCTCCAAGTGCAGTCTGTCATGGCTGCACATGGCTGCACCTGCGGTCCCCAATCACGGATGGCTGTGTAGCTTCGCTTTCTGCTGGATGGGCCGAGGTCGTCCTTTCCATGTGGAACCCATTCCCCCCCCCCTTTCCGAGAGATGGTCGAACCGGAGTCTGACTGGTCCTCATCCAAGGGCTCCGACCCCGCCATGCCAAGGGCTCCCAAGGCATCCGTCTGCAGCAGGCCACGCAGCTGCTCAGATGCATCGTAGACCTGGCTTAGGATCTCTGTGCGGAGGACCGATCCCGTAGCATAGGTGCCCGGCTTGTCTCATGATGGCAGGATGAAGGCCCTCCAAAGCAATGAATCCTGAGCAGACTGCTGGCTGTTTTTGCTGCAGAACATCGAACTAAAATGAGGCTCGGCATCCGCTAAAGCTGTGCTAGACCACGCAACATGCGCGCTCGATGCTCTTCGTTTGAGGAACTGTTTGCGGAGTTCTCGCCCACAGTCTCCTTCAGCCGCGCGTACTCCTCGACAGTTTTCCCTCTGTTTACCCGGGCCCTCCGAAAGACGAGGGAACTCAAACGACTTGCTGCAAACGCTGGCGTGGAGAATCCATACGCGACACGATACACTGCAAGATGCTCCTGATGCACAAGGCCCAGAAGAAACTGGTCCTGCAGATTTGTGGTGGGAATTTCCTGCAACATAGAAGCTGATGGCCCGGCAGCACTGTCGGTCCGAATGCTTGTGCGACCCTGGGCTGGCAAGGCAATTTCAAACACGCCGCTTCGTGTGGTGCTCAGTTCACTGTACTCGCAGCCTGGCCGCCCTGATACTGCTGCGAAATTCCCCATGGCAGATAGCCTGCCGACCTCTCAAAATGGAAGGGCTCGTCGAAGGACATGGCAGCACCTTGCATTAGCTGCGTAAGCCATTTAGCACATTGCGCCACGCCACAAGGGATGCGGAGCTTGCAGGCTTAGCCTCGCACACAGCGTGACCATGGCATCGCCAAGTCCAAAGAACCAGTGCCCCATCAAAAGGGCCAGGCCCACCTGGAGCGAGCATGAGCGAGCAGACCCCGTCCCTGTCACGCCTAGAAGCTACAAGTTTCTGAAAGCTGAGCCGCATGAGGATCCAAAGGCAAGCGGGCCAGAATCCGTCCGAGGCTGGTGAGGTTCTGCTCATCGTCCAGAGCCCTGACACAATCGGGCACGGTATCACGACAGTGAGGCAAAGGTCATCAGGGGATCTGCCTCACAAGCGTGAGCTGTGATATAGCATGAACCACCTTAGCTGAGATGTTTGCCCAAAGCATGCAAGCCCCCTCGAAGAGAAGAGCCGCTGGGCATCTCCACTTCTGGCTCTGCAATTGTCGTGTGCTGTTGGAGGCAGTTGGGGCCGTCCCGCACACGTGTCAAATGCAGCTACTCTTGAGTTCCTGGCGAAAGTCTCGCGTGGAGGATCTGGGCATTGAGACAGCACCGTTGCGATGTCGCCCAACTCCAACGATTTCACCAACAGCGCCGCACCCACCTCTGGCTTCAATTGTCACTGGCTTCGGCTCGATTCCGACATGGAGCGTCCCAGAATGCAGCGACCACGCAGCCAAGCGACCAATGGCATCCGGGTAAGCTCCGGTGGAACTTCGTCCTCGTGCGCGCCAGAAGTGTGGCTTGACTTCTTATGAGATGGACACACTCCTCCAAACCCTCCGTGAAGCGCAGCCGACTGCAGAGTCTGAAGCAAAGCCCCGGTCGGGTCCGACCGGCCCTGCCCTGCCGAAACAGCGGCTCTTTTCAGCTCACCCGGGGGCCGGGACTGTTCCCACGCCTTCCGCTGATCGAGGTTGTGGCGGCCAGTGAAAACCACATCGGTGTATCTCGGAAAAATTTTTGAAGCAGGGCAGCCAGCATGACCCGCCGGAAACTAAGTCGCCAACGACAGCTTCGTGGCTTCTGCGAAAAAGGTCAGCTTTACCTTCGGCTTGGCAACATACCAAGCTGAAATTCCTGCACCCCATTCCGTCGAGGGCCGAGGGCAAGACTTTACAGGAGTCGATGACCTGTCCAACCGCATCGGGAACAGGAACTGCCGGATGCTCGGGTCGTTGCTGTGGCAGTGGTAGCCAAATCAAGTGGCGCACGCAGGTCACATCATCAATGGTGATGGAGGACTCGGCAATATTCGTGGCCAGAATCACCTTGGAATCAGATCATGTGCACGCGCGGCTCTCGCAGTATTTCAACTTATTCGTGCCTTGGCGAGCCCTTCCGGTGCTGGATGGAAGGCATCCATTTGCGCTTCCTTAGGAACCTGCAGAATCTGCTGCCAAGCACTACCACCACGAACGGGAGGCCCACTTTTCCTGCCTGTGAGTGAAGCATAATCACTTTGCAAGACTTGCTGAGGACCTCGTCCGCCTCAGGGAAAAAAAACTGCCAGCACCGCGCGAAGGGACCTTCAGCATCTCCAAGGCTCGTTGCCTCCACAAGCTTGGCCAAGATGCTCATGAGACTCCAGCTGGGCAGAAACACCAGGACCTCGGGAATTTCCCCAAAAGACCACACTCAGGGAGCGGCGGTTCGGCCCGGGGATCCAGCAGAACCAGTGTCGGGAGAGACCGTACCTTCTGTGACCAAAGCTGACAACAGGTCCTGCAGCTGAAATCGGCGAGCAGGTGAACTGGCGAAGTTGCAGTATGGCTTTTCGAGGCGGTCCTTGGTCAGATCCAAGGGGATTTTCTGCTCGGGAAGTGCCCGCAAAGCCTGTCATGTTTCCGGCCATCTACTTCACCGGGACTGGAAAAGGATAGAAATTGAGTTGCG